GGGGGGGGGGGGGGGTGAGCACACACATCGTTGTCGCTGGGGACGCTGCCGCTGTCCGCAAACTATGAACGCGAACACAAGCCACAGGAATTAGCAGCGTAGCAAGGTTAGTCGGAAGACATGTAGTTGTAAGACAAAAAGTTGTTTACTTACACGGTGCAATTTGTTGTGGTCTAAACGGCACTCGATTGAAAGGCTCTGTGTTGCTGTTTACGAAGAACGTGCCTTGGATCGGTTTCGTTGGATCGAATCCTGTACGAAGTTCGGAATATCAGGGTTAAATCGATTAGTTGCTAACAGTGGATTCATTAGCAGTGCTAGGAATTAGCTACAAATTCGTTAGTAGTTTGTGAGAAGCAGTGAAAACTGTTACCCTCTGGTACTTCGCCATGTGGTATGAACAGTGCATCTTTGCCAAAGCCATTCTTTAAAAGTTCGAGTGCAGGTGGTGCATTGTTAGTATTGCTGACTGTAATAAAATACAACTTATGATTATTTTTACTCATTTACTTTACTCATTTACTCATTCGCTTCGGCTTGATTTTCTCCAATCTGACGAATTCTTTTTGGTTCCGTCCTTTACTAACTTTTGAGATAGATCCGATTCATTATCGATTACTTACTAGTGACCAAGCCTCTCTTCGTGCCCGGGCTCGACCAATCAATCGACAATCACTATTGCCGTGACATACATCTCTGAATGAGGTGCCTAGGTCATACGTGAACAATCCCTGTCAAAGTCTCAATTTCTTTTCATTTTTCTACCTCAAAACTGAACTGAAAAAGAGCTAGCTCTCATTTCTAGCTAGAATGACGTTCATCTAAAAGGCCTGTGAGCTAATGAACGATGTCCAGGAATGACTAATGAACCACTCTGGAACCTTGAAATTTGACAAATATTTATCTCATTTCCTGAAGTGGGCCGTGCAATTCGGTCCTAGAAAGAGCACGAGTTTACTGAACAATTAAAGTGACCTACCTGGAGGATTAGGTACCAACGGTGGGGCGCTGATTGCAGCTTCGAAAAGCGCTAACAAGGCGAGGAATCGCATCCTGTAATTGCTCTATGTGAACATGGCATCGTCATCTCTCAATTATAAATCTTTTATGGCGAGATACGGATCTAGTTCGAAGCAGAGCGTGTTGAGTGAACAAATAAGTGTGAGAAGCAGCGAAAACTCGGAAAGGAAATAGGGAAGCAATTTTACATTTCCAAACTGCAGGCTCTCAACGACCCTTCGGAAGTAGGGCACCTATTCTTGATCATTTACACAAAAAGATAATAATTTCCTGGGGCCGGTTTTATTTTGTTTTCTCATTTCAAACCCAGAAAACCCCTTATTGCTTTGAACGAAGTAGCCGGTTCTACCTACCTCCATTCTTGCTTGTAGCCGCTCTTAATGGGCAAGAAATGTTGAGCTGCATTCCAGACTGAATGTTTAGCACCTAAGCCAATACGGCCAAGATGCAAACTCAAAGGCGAGGTCACGATAATTTTAGGGTATATACTTTTAGACGAGTAATGGGAGCAATAATTCAGAATAGTGCAAAAGTAGCAAAGAAAACGCGAGAATGGCGTATTCATACAAGAATATAAGACTTCAAAAAAGTAGTAGAATTAGGGATAGGACAAGAATGTGGCGACAAAAGTTGCATTGAAGGGGTACTTGGACAGACTGTCTAAGCGTATATGCCATTGCGCACAACTGGCTACAGTAGGCTGATTGTGTTCAACGTATGAGTCCCGTTACGAATGGTGCAACCTCTGCAGCCTATACAATGCCGTGAGAACTCGTCCGCCTTCGGGTGTGTACGTCCGCCAAGCCGGTTGTGGAACCATATTACACTATCTAAACCGTTTTTCGACCCAACGACGCCCTTTGTACTACCCTTAAGGACACAGGCACACAACAGGGAAAAACCTCGGGAACCATTTTCAACTGAACTGTGCCTTTAACTAGACGATATTTTTAAAGAGAAATCCAGTGGTATGTTGAAGCCCACGTGAGATGTGTTGTTGTTCTGGAAGGTTCCATGCTCTGACATGTTATCAGAATTAATATAGAATTAATTAGATCGGACGAATCCCTACCTTGCCTCGCCCATACTCACTTATTGATTAGACCGTGGAAACAGACGAGATTAGTCGATTCCCTTGTTAATATCGCAACACTTTCAGAAANATATTTTTAAAGAGAAATCCAGTGGTATGTTGAAGCCCACGTGAGATGTGTTGTTGTTCTGGAAGGTTCCATGCTCTAATAGGTTATCAGAATTACTATAGAATTAATTAGATCGGAAGAATCCCTACTTTGCCTCGCCCATACTCCCTTATTGGTTAGACCGTGGAAACAGACGAGATTAGTCGATTCCCTTGTTAATATCGCAACACTTTCAGAAAGGAGAATGGGGAATCTTCAGAACAATTAATGTAGCATTAAGTTCCAGGCTCTCTACCAAAAGAGTATTC